AATAGTCTGGCTGAATAAATGGCAAGAAAGACCATTTTTAATATCTCTTGGGAAATGTACCTGACATTTTAGATACTAAGGTCAAGCAAATCACTGTTGGATTTTTTTTATGCTGATGGATTGTAGGTGGTGGAATCTTGGACAGCTCGGCAACTCAGAAGTGTTGTACCTGAAACTTGATGTGAAAGGGGGGGAAAAAAAAAAAATAGAACTCTTGCCTGTTGTAGCAGGACTTCACAGCATCCCCGGGTAATAACAGTTTGAGATTGCAAGGAATTACCTCGCTGCTTACAAGCAACGTCTGTCCTTGTAATAGTAACAGTATCTAATATCGTAACAGTATAACATAGTAACAGACTAACAAAAACTATCTGGAGGGTGTAAGGGATTTCCTTTATAGCTTTTAAGATGGTCTCATTTAAATGTATTGTAGTCTCATCCATCCAATCAGATAGGATCTACTACAACAGTAAACATAAAGACTGGTCGACAAAGAAAAACAAATTCCCTGCTTCTTATCTTGACCGACCGCCACACAACTGTTTGAATTACATCACTTCACCACTACACATTGTGTTTCTTGGCAATTACAGGTTACAACATCAATGAATATCCTCTTGATATTAAACCTGGAAACTTCACAGATGCAGAACTTGAAACAGCTTTAATATGAAAAATGAGAAAGCAGTGGGAATTGATAATATTCCTCTGGAAGTCTGGAAGACCCAAGATTCCAATCATATTCTACTCCAAACCTGTAATGCCATATATAATGGAGAAATCATAGAAAGAACAACTATTTACTCTTGTCTTTATAGTAAGTCTAAACAACGTAAAACTGGAAATTGCTCTCAAAAATGACCTCCAATCATTTGTTACAAGGAATGACTTGCAAATTTTAATGCCTTCAAAACAAAACTAGTCTTTTAATCACACCTGGCATCTTGACTTAAGTCACTTTCCCACCATTGTAACATGGCTTCCCTCTGTCTTTTCTGTAAATATTTTCATGGCAGTTGTTTTAATGAGCTTTCCTCCTTCGTATCTCGACTGCATGAATTTAAGTATACCACTAGATTGGCAATTAGGTCTCATTGTTTTTACTGCTGAATTAGCCATATGTAGCCATAAGCTCTATTCTAGTAGTTTCTTTTTTGGCACTTCTTGCTTCCTAAATTCTTTAAAAATTAAAATGCATATCAGTCACCATCTTGTGTCTTTCTGAATCCTGTTCTTTCTCCTCACTAACGTCTTTTCATTCTCTTCCACTCCCAATAACTCCTTACATCTTAGTGACATTATCACCTTGCTTGGGTGAAATTATGAAAATTAAAAAAATTAAAAGCTAAAATGACTTTTTTTTCCAAGTCCTGTATTTCTATCAATTTTCTTCTATGTCCTGAGTCTCTTCAGGACATGAGTGATCATGGCTCTCCACAACTCCCTATCCTTTGTAGCTCTTAACAATGTTTGTCTTTTTACTATTTTTCCCACTCCCTGTCCTATCATCCATTTGAAGAGGCTTATTAAGTAGCTGACCATTGCTCTCCACAACCTCCTGTCCTTTGTAATTCTTAGCAATATTTGTCTTCCCACTCCCTGTTCTGCCATCCATTTACATAAGCTCGTTAGGTTGGGTACTTGCCAGGTACTCTAATTTTTTCTTTAATTTATAGTGTTAAAGAAGTAATTTTGGGGCCACCCTGTATTTTAACTAAATACCAACATATATCCAGTGAAAACTATCACACATAATAAGCAGCATGTTCGTTAAAGAATTCTTAGCTAACCACTTATTAATTCAATCTAGGTATGCTTTTAAATTTTGAAAGTGTAAATACAAGTTTTTTATTTTTAAATGAAAGAAGCTCGTTTTTATTGCATTTCCACTTCTTATCTGCTTTTTAATAAAATATCAAATTATTTTGTGTAAAAGAGTTGTCTATATTATTGAAACAATTACAAAACAGGTTTTGGAACAAAGAAATTCTAAGAAACATTATTTGCTAATGCCGCACTTCACATCAATTCCTAACCTTTGCTTCCATGATAAGAGAAGCAATAACTAATATCAAAAGTTCTAAGAGAGCCTGGACACAACAGTTATTTTAATATTGGAAATATTTCGAAAGGTTTTATGTTGCCTCTAGTGACAGTAAGACTCTGGGCAGGGTTGGAGTGGGTTAAGAATACTGAAAATTCCACTGAAAGAAAATTCAAGCCAAAAGCAATTAAAAAAATAAATAAATAAAATAATTATGAAACTGTTGGATTTTTTTTTTTTTCTTTAGACAAACATCCCCATCTTAGTTTCATTTGAAAAATTTAATCAACCATCATAGAATTCTATAAGAGAAACCAATGTTGAACCTACTACTTATTTGCAGATGAAGACCTACTGAATCATTAATATAAAAGTTTTATACATATAAACATTTTATAAGCCATAAAAAATGCAATTAAACCAACACTAAATAATATAGATCTGATATTTTCATGTAAAATGTATGATCAAAGTTCAAATACAGAATACATACTTTTTGCTTCAACCTTACATGGAGAGATTTTAAAATTGTAGTATTATTATGCAAAAAAAAAAAAAACAACAAAAACAATTTATATATATATATATATATATATATATATAATTGATTTTTTTTTTTATTATATATATAATTTCTCATTTGATCTTATAATTTTTTTTTCTTTACAGTAGATAAAATATACAAAAAGTATCCAAATGTTATATTTTTCCGAACACTTTTAGCTATACCTTTAGCCATTTTCAAGGATGAAATACATTAACTTTTAACTGGAAATAGATTTTTGTATGCATGCATGCATGCATGCATGTATGTATTTAGTATTATTTTCAAAACACAATCAACATATTGTGTCCACGTTCATAGTTGATTGAGTGTTTTTTTGTTTTTATTAATAAGGCATCCATATGTTGACTGTTTTGAAAATAAACTTAATCAAAGCACCTTGTCTGTCACATTTAATGAAGCATGCATGAAAGACGGATTGCTGCCTAAAGACATATATATTTTTAGGTAGCAATCCTTCTTTCAAGTATGTTTCATTAAATGTGACAGACAACTATGAACATGTACACAATATGTTGACTGTGTTTTGAAAATAATACTAAATACATACATGCATACATACAACAATCTATTTCCAGTTAAAAGTTAATGTATTTCATCCTTGAAAATGGCTAAAGGTATAGCCAAATGTGCTTGGAAAAATATAACATTTGGATACTTTTTGTATAATTTATCTACTGTAAAGAAAATAAATGATAAGATCAAATGAGAAATTATATATATATATATATATATATATAGATATAGATATATAAAACTTAATCAATGCATCTTGTCTGTTATATTTAATGAAACTTTATATATTATTGATATTTGGAGAAATATTCATGAAAATCTTACAAAAATGATATCCGATAATGCATTTCACCATTACAGCTGCTTCAGATAGATAATGAAAAATGTGTTGTTGTGTGTTTAACATAATTAAATCTTATTATTTTTCCCAAGCTGGTGTTGCTCGAGACTCAAAAGAGAAAAGAAATGAGTGACTTTAAAAAAATCGTTTAATGTTTTATATTGTCCACCTTAATACACACAATACATTTTTCGCTATCCATCCGAAGAAGCCATAGAGGAGAGATATATATATAAAAATAACATATTATATATATATATATATATATATATATATATATATATATATATAATAATTTGCAATAATAAAAACATCAACCCTTTCTGTTATCAAGGTTTCTACTAATAAATGTTTTTATTCAGGCAGTGAAAAGGCCAATTGCTTTACTAGACATTATTTATACACACGGAAACATAATGAAAAGGGTTGGTGTGTTTATTTTAAATATCAAATAGATCTGCACTTTTCATTTATTAAACTGTGCATTGAACACTTTTTTAGTATAATTGTTCCCCAGACAAGATATACTTTCTTGTTTATAAAAACAGTTGTTTTGAACTATATATTTATTCCTTTTTTTCATGTATATAAGAGTTATATTTTAAATGATTTTTCAATACAAATAAAATCATCATTTTTGGATTATTTACCCATTAACAAACTGTTTCACACAATGCAATTTTAAAAATCTGTTTATCTTCTAAGTAAATAATAAAAAAATCTTTTGTGTGTGTATGTGTGTATATATATATATATTATAAATTGATTTATTTAAAGTATGTTTTTTTTTCGCTACACAGTTCTAACCGGATTATATATCTTACTGTTCTTTATATATATATATATATATATATATATATATATATACACACACACACTCTTGTATGAGCATTTTTCCTGTTTGTGATTTTAGTTAGTATATGCACATTATGTACCCATCAGCTACCCTTGTTGTAACATCTTGGACTAGCTGAGGGAACATAAAATGCCCATATTTACAAAAAACAGTTAGCGACTACCTGATGAAAATGCATGAAACTTTTAGTTGTCATTAATCATTGTTCACCAGAAAGTTATTTAGAAAATATACCCATAACTACTTTTTATATATATATATGGAAAACCAAATTGTGTTTCTTTATGTAGTTCATCTCCATTATGCAAACAGGAGTAAATTAAGCCTTGCATTGTTAACTTTTACAAATAAGCAGTACCAGTAATATTTATACCATAATGTAATATAAAATCTATGTATAACAAAAAATAACAATTATCAGCTAATTATCAAAATAGTGAATCAATTATATTCTTTAGAGAATCTGTAGATTAAAAAAGGTTTCAACATGGCTCATAAAGAGAAAAAAAAAGTCAACGAAGATGAGGATCTTAGTCCAAATAAACTACCAGTTTAAAAATGGTTCCATTTTTATAAAAAGGCGACTCTAAACCAAAGCATATTTCCCTGACAAAAGTAAAACTTGAATCAAGATAAACAAATATTTTTTCCACCTTGTCTGAAATGATGCTTAGAGATATTAAAAGCAGTTTGCCCTCATGCCAATCAAAGAGATGCCATTCTCTTGGTTACCTGTGATGGCATGTCGCCGATGTGGTCTCGTCATCTGGTCCTCGATTCCAACGGACTCAGGATAGCGCCCATGTGGCTCTGGCAATGATGCGGACATCTGTGTTGGCAAAAGCAGTACAGGTGCCTGACTCAACACTGGGGTTTGGGAGGACGCAGACGACGGAGGCGAAATGGGGTCAGAAAATACCTGACCAGCGCTATTGTCAATGCCCTGCCCGGCATAGCACTCACTATCATCATCATCATCATGGCTACATGGCTTCTCGGACGATGCAGAAAAGCATGGAAAACAGAGAGTGGATACAGACCTACGGTGGACGCACTGAGTTGAGGTCAGATTAAGGCATGGGTATGTGTATAGGCCAAGCTTTCGATCATAGGTATGCCTGTTGGCAAGCTTAGACAAGGCACTGCTACCATATAGTGGCATGCCCTTTAAATGTATATTGGGCGGACAAGTATTTTTTGAGTTGGTCACTGGTGAGGATGCGGACGGCAAGGCATGATGGTGGTGGTGGTGGTGGTGGTGGTGGTGACGGTGATTCTGGAGCGAGCCATGCCTGTGTAAGGTGTTGCTGGCTGCAGGAGCCAATGGGGCAGAACGTGCACATACTTGAAAAGCGGACTGAAAATTATCAAATAAAGCAGCAGGCGGAGCAAGTGGAAATCTGGGGTAAGGGTCCTCACCTGGGAATTGAAACTGAGATGACTGGACCACAATCTGCGGGGAGGCAACCGGAGAGGGAGAGGTGATACTTGTAGGGGAGGTGATGGGGAGAGCAGGAGAAGAGGGGGTGGATGAGTTACAAGACGACGTGTTCGAGCCTGAGTCCTGGTGCGGCAGACTTGGAACAGGCTTCACTGGCTTTATTATTCCCCGCCGAGATGTATTTGGAGAACCTAAAAAGGTAAGAGACAATGGAGGTTGGGGAGAGAAAAAAAAAAGAAAGAAAAAAAAAAAAAAAAAAGAGAAAAATAAATAATGAATATTAAAGAGATTTAAGCCAGAAAAAGTGTTGACGGTTTTGGTTTTGCATTCAACAAAATGTATACAGATTCTTATATGCACACATAGCAGTATAACCCTAAAAATGTATACACACTTTAGCAAGCTTTAATTGTATAAGCTCCACCTGCTTTGTAAAATTGCCCTAAAAAACAAACAAAAAAAATAAAAAAAACAGAACATATAGATAAACAATATATACTATGTACTTAACGAATACTTATAAGAAAGAAAAGAAAAAAAATTAATTTAAATTTAAAATTTCAGCATCTCCCCTCCTTCATGTGCATGTGTAATCACATCAATGTATCCATCACTTTAGTGTGATGAAGTTGTAATGGACAAAAAGCATCACACAAAAGTTTCCCAACTTTGTTATTCATATATATTTATTTAAAATTTCAGATATAACTAAAATATATATTTGTAAAAGGACAACATGAATAAAGACAATTGCCTTGATAAAGTCCATCAAAGGATGACATGTCCACTAAGATAAGTTTTCCTTCTGTCATATATATATATATATAAGTAGAACTCCCCAAATCCAAACATAGCATAATCTAGACTTCCTCTAATTTAGACTAATCTTCAAATTCAAACTTTTCTATTGACATAAATATGAAGCCTTTTCTTCCTTGAATCAGAACAGTACCCTCAATATCAAACATCTCAGATGTTCAGATTATAGGAGTTGTACTGCATATTCTTAATTTTGACTTCCTTTACAGATTGTAATTGTTTCAGAATATGATATTTCATAAATTTTTAAACATTTCATAAAGTGTCTTAGTTTTTCATAAATTACAATATTTGTTTAGCACAAATCTTTTCATTGCTATTGGTTGCCAATTATTTCTTATACATTTATTTATTCAATCTACACTTTAAATAAAAAGAACGAATATTACAAACTACCTTTTGTATTCTAAACTCTAAAACTTAATAAAAATTTTAAGCTTGCCACAGCAGCCTTTTCTTCCTTGAATCCGAACAGTACCCTCAATACCAAACATCTTGGATGTTCATTTTAGAGGAGTTGTACTATATTTTAAAATTAACTGTTGTGGTTACAATGTTTTGTAAACAAGCATTCACAATGTAAGGTAGGTAACCAGAGATTTTATATTTATTAATCCAACAGATTTTTATTACTTTAAAAACTACTTCCAACAAATACCCATATTTGAGGAGATGCTCTATTTGCTTATTAAACAATATATTTATTTACTTTCATCTACCGAACTGAATATTCGAGAAATCTTATTGAATAAAAATATGCACCCTTCAGCAGGACTCATAAAGGGGAACACAGGTTCAACTTCTGTGCCTTTTCTATAAATATTTTTATAGTAATTATTTTGATTAGCTTTCCTCTGTTACAAAGACTTTATGAATTTAAGTGCGCCACTAGATTGGTAACAAATTCTCATCATTTTGCAGTTGAAATGGGTAGATGTAACTAAGTTCTAAGTTAAGTTTTTCTCGCACTTCTCACTTGTGTAATTCTGTACTGGTTTCTTGCTTTCCAGTCAACTTTGATCTTCAAAAATTTAAATGAAATGTCAATTGTTATCTCCTGTCTTTTTAATGTCTGCTCTTTTATTGTTCTCCCTTGGTCAGAAATTAAAGCAAGTGTTATCAACAGAACAAAAAGTAGGTGTAATTATTAAATCAAATTAAAGAAAAATGGGAAACTTAACTAAAGCGTGTATATATTTTAGCAGAGTACACCATCTGCATATGTACACATATATAACATAGCAGTGTATATATTGCAAACATTCACCAATGTTTCGTTCTGATTATAAAGTGAAAAAAAAAAGAATTGTTGCAATTCTCAAAAACTCTTGACTAAAAATGGACTATACAAAGATAAACATTGGACATCAAATGTAAGAGGAATTTTTAAAATTTCAGTGAGTATTTGGTTTGGTTATATTAGTATAAATTTAAAAAAGTGAAAAAAAGTTGGAATAGATAAAGGCATTGGAGTATATAGGGTTGGCTCTTAAATCAGTATATTATATAGCTCCATTTATTTTCAAACAAGAAACTTAATATATCATGTGTATGTTTTTCTTCAGATCTTATTAAAAACAGGACAAGCATGTTTAACTACAGGAGGCAGCAAAAATACCTCTCACATAATAGTAAGACATTAGTTGCAGTGGTGTCTTCATCTAGCTAATGTCTTACCATTATGTGGGGAAGTATTTCAGCTGCTCCCTGTATAAATTTTGCAGTGATAGAACCAATTATCAGATGATTAAAATCACAATTTTAAACATTCAACAATCAGTTTTATCACTGTAAAACATTTAGTTACATGTATGCATGTCACATTTTTAATATGATCCACAAATTGTAATAACATTTATATTATATATTGCTCTGTCTATAGGATACTTAGCACTGTATAAAAAAAATCAACAATGACTTATATTTAATTGGAACTACATTTTCAATTAAATAATTGTTTATATAGTGTCTGTGTAAAAAAAAAAAAGAAAAAAGTTTTGTACATGTAATTTATACCAAATTAATTAATATGGAAAAATTGTTAATAATTATATAGAGTTGTAGGTGGTTTAATGGTTAGCAGCATGGGAAATGTAGTTGGCAAGCCAAGTTCTAACAGAGACTTTGTGTTCACTTTACTGTAATGACATTGGGAAAGGCATGAACGTTGCCTTCCAGTTGTGTTCAGGATTTCAGGAAAGTAGACTAAGCTGCCTAGCCTTGGTTAGCAACCAGTCTAGACAAAAGATAATTTTGAATTCACACCAGGAGCAGAGCCGCCCCCTTCCTCCCCTCGAGGTCGATGGATAGCACCTTTGACTTCCATCTGACAGCTCCTGATGCTAATGTGTATTGATTACCAAAATGTATGGCTGACGGGAATCTGGTGAAGCTTTAGCAAACTAGAAGTGGATAAAACAAATTACTAAAAAAAAAAAAAAAAAAAAAAAAAAAAAACACGCGCACAAAAAGAGTTATCTCCCCATGACACCTCATTGTACACGAAAGAAAAATAAATGAAGTTTTAATGAACAAACAAAATGTAATGATATCAATAACAGACTACATTAGTGTTTGCTAGGTTAACAGAAATTTTTAGCTACAGGAAATTATATCTATTATTTACATTATTCAGACTGTTGTCCTCATCTTTATTGTCATATTCATGACATTTAGCCCATTGTACACTCAGGTGATATTGAATGGAATTTCAAAATTCCATTCAATATCATCCGAGGATGACCGGAGGGTACAACGGCTGAAATGTCATGAATATGGCAATAAAGATGAGGACAACAGTCTGAACAAGGTAAATTACAATACCACATCTCAGAAATAAAGACAGATGATGGAAATTATATGATAAAATATTTGCAATGAACATGAGATAATCAAAATGAAGACACTATACAAATTTCCATTTATTTATGCACCATGCCAAGTGACAAAATGAATTGATTATATAATGTATATTTAATATCCCTTTCATCCAAGTGATGAGGATGATACCTTAAAATACATCCGTCCTTATGTTTTACTATTCAGACCAGAATTCTCATCGTGGTTGTGATGTTCGTGTTTCAGCCATTGTACCCTTCGACTTTCTTTGAGTATCTGACATTGTATTTTCTAATTTTTTTTAACTAAACTCTTTATTCAGATTAGAGAGTTCCTATTGTACTTTCCATCAGTTAATACTTACCAGTCTCATTCACTTTTGGGCTTCTTGTCTGTTTTTTCCATTTAAAGAGAAAAAAAAAAAAAAAAAAAAAAAAAAAAAAAAAAAAAAAAAAAAAAAAAAAAAAAAAGAGACTTACCAGACCCAACTGCCAAGGAATCAGGTATTTTTTTAACCAACACTTTAATCTAAAAAGGCTGTGTCACATGGTTACCAAGGATGACAACAGACACGGAAGAAGGTCAGAGGGTCCAATAGCCAAATTGCTGTTAGTATAACAACTGAGATGAGAAAGCTGGTTTACAAACCAAGGAATATAATAATGACAATTCCTCATTTCAAAAATTCCTTAAAATGACATGTTTAGGAAAAAAAAAAAAAAAATAAAGAACTCCCACCTACACTTGTCCCAATGAAGACAAATTTGCTGATTTTTAAAAATTACTAACATTTTATTTTTTCAATTTGATAATGAAATTTGAACTCACCATCTCTAGCAGAAGGATTACAGATTTTAGGGGCTCGACTGGCACAGTCTCTGTGATATTTTATTCTGGAAAACACAAAACATTAGTACAACTCTGAAAAATAGCCAACTGAATTATTCTAATATTAGACTAATATTTCCTCAGTTACATATTACAATACATTCTAGAGTCAATACAGAAATTTTATTTTGCCATATATATATATATATATATATATATATATATATATATATATATATATATATATATATATATATAATCCATTAAAATTATACTTACCAAGGGTAAATTTTACAGCTATCATCTTACATAAAGAAAATTTCCACCACTAACAATGCCTTAAATTAGAGCTTAAACTTTGGAAAATCTAGTAAAGAAAAACAGAGTATCCTGTGGTTTTTAAGGAAAACTAGGAAATTCCACAGTTCCATGTCATTACAAACATCAATTTCTTTTTTAACATAGTAGATGGAGGAACAAAAATCTCAGCTCGTATTATTGTACAAATCACACAATATTTCAAGATATTGAATGAAAAAAAATTAAAATATCTGTGGTAAAGGTAACCATAGTTGTCTTCCCCTCGAACAACACCACCATAAAAGTAATAGCTGAAACTTACGGGCAATGGTCAAATTGCATTGAATAAAGCTTCATTGCAAGCTTTAAATATTAGTTTTTCTTTGCAGTAGCCGATGTTAATTTCATAAAATTTAATATGACGACCAAATTATTTACAATTTAACTCTTAAACTGTTTTGCTAGAAATTAGTTAAACCATTTAGTCAGAATCTGATTAACATACAATACCAGATTACCATACCATATTTTTCTGTATTTTGACATGGCATTTAATTTTTTAGCAAAATGTCTTGTTTAAATTACAAGCATCGAATTAAAGCTTCATTTGGAGTGCTTTTTCAATAAGATAACTGCATCTTTTTCACCAGTGATAGGTCCATACTCAAGTTCCGGTATTAAAAAAAAAACTTAAAAATAAATTAAATACTGGTTTTCGAGATAAGACAGGTACTCTTCACTTGGAAAACTGGCACAGGATAAACTTCTTACCTGCATTCTCCTTATTTTACCTTGCAGAAAAAAATGTAGTTGCAATCATTTTTGTTCTTCACTTCATTAAAATAAAGTTATAGACTAAATTCTTCAGTTTTTTGTTTTTTTTTTTTTTTTGTTAAATTCTGTAGATGGGAAAAAGAATGTAAAAAAAATATGGTTATAGTGATTTTTTTTCCATTTGCAATAAATAAAGTTTTTACATTCTTCAGTTTGAAGTACAGTGGTGCACAAAAAACGTATGCTGACTCACTTCCTCAAATCTAACCAAATGACTGAAGGATTTTTCAGCACCCCTTTTGTAGTGGTGTGAAGTGAATGTGTATTTAAAAAATAAAAATAGAAATATAGGGAAATAATCAGAAAGATACAAAAATAAAAAAATATCAAAATGACAATTTATGCAAATTATATAGAGAAACCAAAAAGTTATTTGCATTAAGTGTATACAAAAGTTTCCCCACCAAAAAAAAAAAAAAAATTTCCACCATGTGTGTTCAGCCTAATTTTCAAAAAGAGTGCTAAAAAGTTTTATACAACCTCACTTAATATTTTTTTAATTAGTTTAACCCCTTAATAATATTAATCATTCTCAGCAGAAAATTACAAAATTGTCATCCATTTTTTTAAAGCATGAATAAAATTCTGGGCATAAATTCTAAAGTGTGTGTTTTGGGTTATGATATGGAATATGTGTACACCTGTGTTCCTCCCCACTGGAATATGATTGGCTGGTGTCTGTCATAAATACCGACGGACGTGTAGGAGAGTCAAGAGCCTTAGTCTGAGAGCTAAGTCTATAACAACGCCCGTTGGACTACGCCATTGATCTACACTTCTTACCTGCAACTACGACGCATACCAGTCAATTACTGCTACTGTATTCTACTTGGTTATAGTAACCAAAACCACTTAGATACTTCGTTCAAATATATCCCTTTCCAGGACATATCAGGTTATAAATGAAAATATTCATTCACATTGTGTATTTGATAGGGATTTTCTTCATTTCAGCTCTTATGCAGTCGAGAGCTACATTTTAATTTACTGTATCTGCAGGGGGAAAAGCATATTGTAATTTTTTTTTCATCATTCACTGAAGTTTAATGCAGTTGGAAGAAGATTCTTTCATTTATTGAAAGTGACATACAGCTGATTTATAATGAGAGTAAAAGGAATAATAATGACCCTCTTCCACTTTTTTTTTTTTTTTTAAAGTAGGGATGAGGTAATTTGGAGTCAATAGTCAGCTGTTATCTGTCCTTCTTCACTTTTAACCATGCTCTCTTCCACTCATCTCTCACACCACATTCATTATCATCATTCCAACTCCACCTTGAGTGGCTCTCAAGCCTTGTACTGTGTGAAATTTAGTAAATAATTTTTATTCCTTTATAAGCATATTTCATACTAGAAATTAAAAAATACTTCCAAATTTAAAGTATTTTAAAGAAAAAACCTTTAGAGCAAAATTCTTACTTTACAAGACTTTTACACACAAGCTAACAAGTATTTGCATTATATATATATATATATATATATATATATATATATATATATATATATATATAGATAGAGATTATACATAATATCCAACATCAATAACACGACTGACTTCCATGCAAGCGTGCAATCTTCAGGTGCAAAATAAAGACTGTATTTTGCACCTAAAGATTGCACATTTGCATGAAAATCAGTTGTGCTATCAATGTATAATCACTAATATATACTTAATAGCTCTGTTATTTAACATTGAGCACTGTTTTTAACACCTGAGAAATATATATATATATATATATATACACACACACACACATACATGCAAATATATGTATGTTTTTTAATACCCATATATATATATATATATATATATATATATATATATATATATATATATATGTATATGTGTGTGTGTGTGTGTGTGTGTATATATTGTTAAAGATTTCCAAGCTGTAGCTGACAATACTAACAATTTAAGTACAATGTTGATACATGTAAGCAACAGTGCGGATTCACTTACCTACAGTCTTTACAAATTTTTCCTAACAAAATATGTTTCCGACAGTAATCACAGGTCCCAGGCACGGGCTTCGTGATAAATCTGAAAAGTAAACAGAATGTCATTTTAACACACATAAGAAAAGCTCTTTGGATAAATAATTAAATCAAAAACAAAAAGATTTTTGAGTTAATTAAGATAAATATGGTGTTGACTTTAAGCGCAATGTACAAGGTCTGATGAAAAAGCAACAGAACAATTGCTATGATAATGAAGCTAAAATACACAGAGAAAATCTGCTTGGCACGGATTGACTGAACTCTGTTCTCGCTCACTTCCATTGTTTATAGCAGTGCTTGGAAGAAAAGTGTATAGAGTGTGGTCGTCTCAATTCATTAGAGGTTTCATTAGTGACCATTGCTTATACAGCAGTTTTTAGCCAAGACCAACATTCCCCAGATCTCACCTCTTGCGTCTCTTTTCTCTTCAAAAATCAAATCCTGCTAGAAAGGAACAAGATTTCAAGATGTCGAGGAAATCAAAGAGAATACAAGGCAGCTGCTCACTATCCCAAAAAAGGAGTTCCAGGAATGCTTTTATCAATGTAAACAACACTGGATAGAGTGTGTGGCTTGAGAAGGGGATTACTTTGAACAAAATTAAACGCTGAATTGATAAGTGTTGTTGTTTTCTTTTTATAGCACCAGTCCCAATACTTTTTGAATAGGGCTCATATAAGGTTTCTTTAACAAATGTTTTATCCAATGTAAGAACCTCAAACCTCAAAACAAAATATGAATTTCTATTCATTAGTTTTATTTTTAACATTACTATAGATATATCAACTTTTCGAGGCATGTTTGTCCCCCTCTTTAAATGACCCTATCAACTCTTGATCAACCTGGGTACTTAGAAAGTGGGTGGAAAACAGATATATATATATATATATATATATATATATAAACCACTTGTTTTTAGAGATTTGGAAATAAAAAAGATAGTATTATAAATTGTTCACAATGCACAAACAAACATTCCAAAAAAGGGGATGAAATTTAAACTGTTTCAAACAGATAATCATTTCTTATATATATAACATTTAATAGGGATAGTCACATTATTAATATATTAGATGATATTTTTCAAGATAAAAGTGTGGGCACATAATAAAAGCAAACAAAAAATGACATTTAAAAAAAGTAGAGTTGGGTGACAACCAAGAAATGAAAATTAAAATGTGAAGGGAGGAGACAAAGAAGAAATGGCACTTAAAAAAATGTTAGAGTTTGAGACAACGAAGAAATGGCATTTAGAAAATGTGAAGGGAGGGGAAACAACGAAGAAATGGCATTTAGAAAATGTGAAGGGAGGGGAGACAACAAAGAAATGGCATTTAGAAAATGTGAAGGGAGGGGAGACAACAAAGAAATGGCATTTAGAAAATGTGAAGGGAGGGGAGACAACAAAGAAATGGCATTTAGAAAATGTGAAGGGAGGGGAGACAACAAAGAAATGGCATTTAGAAAATGTGAAGGGAGGGGAGACAACAAAGAAATGGCATTTAGAAAATGTGAAGGGAGGGGAGACAACCAAGAAATGAGGGGAGACAACCAAGAAATGGCATTCAGAAAATGTGAATGGAGGGGAGACAATCAAGAAATGGTATTTAGAAAATGTAATGGGAGGAGGGAAGATAACCGCTAAATGACATTTTAAAAAAATGGGGGGTGCGGGAGTCAGGAATTGGCATTTAAAGAAGGCGAGACAATGAAGAAATTGCATTTAGAAAACATGAGGAGGATTAAGAGTCAACCAAGAAATGGCATTTAGTAAATGTGAAGGGGAGGAAAGACAAGGATGAAATGGCATTTAAAATATGTGAGGGGGAGGAGAGACAATCAAGAAATGGCTTACAACAAACAATATACCAATCTTTGTAAATTTTTAAGTTTATCAATAACAAAAAAGAAAAAAGACAAGACATTAGTTCAATATAAGCATTTATTCAAGACAAATATTATTAAATAAAGAAAAAAAAAAAAAATTAGTAATGCTAGCAAACAATCAAATAAAAATTAATAAAGCATCCTACAGGGAAACTTTTTTTTTATTTTTCATGGTGAAGTAAAGTTTTTACCTGCTTTCACAGCAATCTGTATTTGCTATGTAAAAATCAAGGACTTTAAAACAAAGGTTAATTATCAACTTTCCAAAAATAAGAAATCAAGAATTGACTTTGTTCATGTCACATCCATTCCATGTAAATCATAACACTGAAAATAGAATTAACTAAAAACAGATTTAATAGAAAATATAATCTGGAGCAAGCAGCATGATTAAATATATTCAGTATATTTGAAAATATTAAAATAATCAAGGCACAAATATTATAGTATAAGATAAAATTTTGAAGATATGTAAGTTTTTTTTTTTTTTTTTTAATTCTAATCTAAATAATCTTACAAAATATTTTTACAGGGATACACAATTTTATTAGAGCAATAAAAAAAACAAACAGATACATAAATAGGACATTCATAACAAAAAAACAAAGAATTCATATAATATATTACAGTAAATTGGTAATACTGAAATATAATGATTAAGAACAGTTAAACCAATTTATTGGTCTTCTTATATCAGAGCAAAAAACGCGTGAACAAAAAATTTTACAATTTCAGTTAGTGCAAGAAATTATTTTTCTGCCAATCCACGAATTGCTTTTGATGCCCAACCTATGTTGAAACTGACCCGGAAGGATGTTCTGCCTCCCCATCAGTTTTGTTCTGGAATTTTCAAATCCACACATTAGTATGATGCTGACTATAGAGGCAGAACAGATTAAAGGTTGGAGGCACAGATCAACCAATACGTTCCAGCCAATATTTGCAAGGGAAATGCAGACAATTGCGTTAATGCATCTGGTTCAGCGATAGCTGAACATTCAATTAAAAAGATGAGTCGTATGCCCAATCTTATAGCCTGAGCATGTTCTCAGTGGTGAGTAGGTTTTGGAATCAGTAGATATTAAGTCCCGCCAACCATCTCTCTGTACATAGGATTTAAAGGTAAATAACTTGTTTAATATATATATATATATATATATATATATATATAAATAAAAGTGAACATTGAAGTCAACAGAGGTGACAGGCTGTTTCATACTAGACGCAATCATCAGTCTGACAATTGCGACTAGCATGAAACAGCCTGTCGCCTTTGAGTGTCAACGTCAATGTTCACTTTTATATTTATACATGCTCTATCTCTGATGTTGGGCACTTTATAGCACACCTTAAAACTATAAAACTATATATATATATATATATATATATATATATATACACACACACACACACACAGATGCTGATAGCTACACATCCAGCATCAGGGACACAAAAATCTAAAAAGATACAGCAAAATTATATCCATGCATCCCAGGGATGCAGGTCAATCTTTTCATGAAAAAAAACGATACATTGTGATGCACACAGCAAATCTGTCAGGGATACGAGTTCTTTGCTAATCGGTGAAAGTAGCTCCTTTTCTTGTTTTTGTTTTTTTTCTAATAGTAAATTTCCATGATAGAATTTACCTCCTGTTTTTTCTTTTTTTTTTTCTCTCCCATCATTTCATTCTAACTGACAGTTGACCCATGCTTTCTTTGTAACGGCATAATCTAATTTTGTGATAAGGGTTGGTGAAATATACAGTCAGTATTTTCTTAAAAATGAATTACACTGGATGAGGTACAAGGTGGGTGTTAGATGGCTTTAACTTGTTTCATCAAAGAAGGCTTTCTCACACCTTTCCCCAGTTTATTAATATATCTGATGGTTACCTCTATGTAAATTTGTACTGTATTGTGTTCATCTAATAATTTACTTTTTAAAATGATTTTATTATAAAAAAAAAACAAAACAAAAAAAAAACAAAAAACATGTTTATATACTGTTTTTAACAATAAACACAACACAAATTAACAGTGCTAGTCCTGTTTCTTTTCTTATTCCTCTGACCATTTTTTTTTTTTTTAACCTGAATTCAAAATCCTAACCCTTATAATTTCTAGGAGTGCAGTGAGTTAATATTTATTTATGATAAATTATAATTTCTTGGTGTGAATTAATGTAAATAAATTTAAAATTTACATTATTTAGGGTGTCATGGTGAATTAAAAAATCCCAAAACTCCAATATTAGTCTCATTTCATTTACGTTTTTAAATATACTGAAAAAGTGTGTTTTTTATATTGGGAATTATTAGACTTATATTATCTTGAAGATAAAACTAAAATTAAGATTTCAAAGGTGATTTTTATTTTTAAAATAAGTTAAGTATCCCTGTTTTGAATTATTTTTTAGTTAAATTTACATTTTACATAGTCGGCTTTCTTTTCATTTTCCATCAAATTACAGTCCTCTTCATCTGTGACATTAAAACAATGTATTGATAACATGTACAACACTATCATGGATAAAAAAACAAAAAAAACAAAAAAACAAAAAAAAAACACAAAACAAACTATGATGCTTATTCAAAACACTACTTACAGCGAATCAGATATTTCCTGAACACTACCACTAGCTCTAAAACTAAAAACACAAACCTAACCAAAACTAACTAATCTTCCAGGAAAATTCTGATATTCGTTGGAAGTAGCGTTCATTCTGAATATGCACTAAAAACATTTTTTTTTTTAATTCTAAGAATTCCTTAAAACTTTTCCTTTTAACAATTGATAGTGAAAATAAATTACTACCATGCTTTTCTTCCTTCATAAATTCATAGCAGTTAAAAGTAGATTAAGAAAATAACTGGTAGAAAGGGTTATTACTGGCACCAAAGCCTGGCAAATCCTATTCACATTTATCTCTTCAGAATATACCACATACACACTGGCATCATTTGATCTTTCTCAACACACTTTCCACTGTTTTCATTAAGTTTCATTGTTGTTGTGCTAAATATTTCATAAGGATTGACTCGATTAATTTTCTCATCAATTAAAATCAAATTTGCTTTAATTATTTTCAAATTAAAAGATTTTGGTGACAGTTTATAGAATGTCAAGGTGATGGGAATGTTTTGTTTATACACTT